TTTTTTTTTTTTTAGATATTTGTCAGTAGATATTGTACATTTATTACTCAACAATTAATAAATATTTACTGATGCCTGTTAATTTTCTTCTCATCTAATGTTCAATATTAATATTTGAAAACCTGAATAATTGCCTGGAAGTTTTACGAATAAAAAATTAAAACAAAAATAATTTAATACACTTTTAAAGAATTCTAGAATTATAAAATCACTGCATTTTCATAACAGTGCATTTCTATAAAAAACCCAAGCTTTCACTTGCAAGTATGCGTCCGTTTTACACCAAATACTGCTTAAAGAAACATTTCAGAGCAGAGAATAATTAACAATGTTATAGACTGTATTAGATTTGATATTGTAAAAACCATTATCCAAAGCCGCTTATACACACTCATGTTCATATAAATGTAGGCTATGTATGCCCTCAACAATCACCATCACTAATAACTAATATGTTTAAAGAGACATTAAGAGACTTTGTCTTCTGAAGCTGTAGCTGTCAGTGATGGTAAAGAAGTTTGTTCCTGATTTAAACTGTTGGTTAAGTACGTTAACGTAACGGACGCATGACTAGCACTGCCACATAGCTCATGATAATCGCTCTTAACCCACCTTGGAGGACTCATCCTCGAACTTCTGCTTCGGCTTCCTCTTGGCATGTTGCTTTTTTATGACTAACTCCAGAAAAAGATCCGAGACTCGCAAAAAATGCTGTTGTTTTAATATTACTATACTGTCAACGCGCTACTGACCTTCGCACTGTATTTATAATCCGGGGAACTTTCTAGCGTATTACATCATAACGTTTGACATCCGCTCATGCGCATGCTGTACTTCCGGAATATGCCGTTTATCTTCACTTAAAGGTGCAATGTGTAATATTTACATCGATCTATTGACAGAAATGCAATATAATATACATAACTATGTTTTAAGAGGTGTATAAAGACCTTACTTAATGAACCGTTATGTTTTTATTACCTTAGATTGAGCAATTTCTATCTACATACACCGCGGGTCCCCTTACATGGAAGTCGCCACCATGTTTCTACAGTAGCCCTAAACGGACAAAGCTCTACAAAAGCGCGTTTCGTCATAATGTTGTCCTTGCGAATAAACACTGACACAATGATGAACAAGTACATTAATATTCGCAATAACATCGATTTATTAAATAATGAAGTAAATATAATTCCTTAATTTACCTTTGTAAAGAAATCTCATTGCTTTCTGCTCTTTACCGACGAGTCCTGTGTCGGCCACCGTAGGTTCTCTAAAAGGAGGGGTGAGCATTGGTTGCAATTCGCAATCTGACCGCTAGATGCCGCTAAAATTTAAACACTGCACCTTTAAGTAAAACTTACTATTACTATTATATTTTTAATACTAATTTTATAGTTTGTATAAGTTATTTTCAACAATGAAATGCAAAATGTATTAGCGTTCATAGTGTTTTGCTTGTAATTTATTTGCTCAGAATTACATTTTAAGAAGCACAAGAGGGATTTTAAAATGTTAAAAAATCTGTATTATGTACACTGCATATAATACATAATTCTTTAGTACTAATATCATTTATTCTGTTTCTTCCTTTACTTAACTGTGACTGAAGCTTTTTAACTTTTAGTATTATTTTGCGATTATTTTACAAATGATATTCACACAAATATATAAAACAGCACCGTACAGAATTTTTTTTCCAATTTTATAGTGCAGTTATTCTTTTGTTCTTATTTTTAATGACAAAATTAAAATAACTATATCAATATATATATATATATATATATATATATAGTTACAGTGATATCAATTTCTCATACCATGAAATTTGGTCAGCAAAATATTGGTCATATTGCCCACCCCTAGCAGCCAAATACATACACACATACCTTTTTATTTATTAAATTCACTTTAATTTTGTTGGAAACACTGACACAACCAATTAATGCCAACAAAATCTAAAACAGATGAAGTCACTTACTGGGGTTTTTCATCTGGTAATGGTTCATCATAGCAAGAGCTTCCATGGCGTCATTAACAGACTCCCAGTCCAGAAGCCCTGACGAACTCCTCTCTGATGTGGAACCTATTCATTAAAGAAAAAGAGGCACTGGACACATTACAATAATGAAGGAGCATGGATGACATTACCAGTTAATAGGGCACACTTTAAATTATTTCATGCTGAGTTTGGCTTTCTATGCCGTTATTTACCACACATCAGTTAAAGGCAGTACGTTTTCACATACCTTTAGCTGCAAAAAGTTTGACATTGGAAGGGCTCTTTACCCCAAGTTCTTCACAGACCTGAAAACAGATGAAGGTTGTAAATGTACACATCGAATAACATTGTGACAAGAAAGGCCCTGACTTCCTGTAATGTGAACTGACCCTGGTAAAGGAGTCTGGTGAAGCCTCGGGTGCTGCGTTGAAGAAGTGTAGGACGTTGCTGGGATGCTGAATGCGGTTCTTTGCTGCCTGCTCTGGAGAGGAGAAACGGTTATTTCTGCTCCCGTGAAAGTCTTTGAAGCTGCTGGTCCCGTCTTCCAGCTCATAGGACTGACCGGGCATGATGGCCTGCTGCTTAGACACACTGACACAACGAAGAAAACAACTGATCAAACCGTATGTACACATATGAAGTCATATTTAAAAAAAAAATTAATTAATTAAATTCGCATTTTACTTTGATTCCCTTCGAATTCTTATTCTCATTTTTTTACGTAAATAATTAAGACAAAACTATTTTAACACTTTGATTTCATTCAAATTCTTTTACTGTAGTGTTAAAAAAAATCTCAACAAAAATAATTAGACAAAACTAAGTATTTTAACACAATGGAAGCATTTTTAATGCCTTTAACTCTTTCCCTGCCAGCATTTTTGAAAAAAGTTGCTAGCCACCGCCAGCGATTGATGATTTTCACTAAAATTTGATGGCCTCCAGTATTTTTTGCTGTATGAATATTTGAAAATGCAATACACCAAAATAAAGATCAGAGCCTCTACTTTTAAACAAACAAAAAAATCTGTTTAATTCTAGCTTAAAGCATTCTTTTTTTAATCAACACTTGAATATAGGTAGGTTTCATAAAAAATGCATAATTTTGAGCAAAATTAATTTTTTCAAAAACTACATCTGGGTAATATTCAGTACGATTATCAAAGCATAAATCCAGTAAATCGCTTCCATCAATACCTCCAAAGCTTGCACAGACATATACCACTTCCTGAATCAACATTTTACTCCGTAACATTATGCAGTTTTCATTTATATGCTGTCTATTGCTGATGATCGCATTATTTTTCATATGCATCTGTTTACATAAGAGATCGCTCGTTTCTCCGTCCTGTTCACGTGTTTTTGTTCGGAAGGTTTTGTCCTCGTTCAGAAGATGTGTAATAGCACCCCCGAGTGCATAACAGTGAAAACACGAAAAGCCGTAAAAACTTGTCTTTGGCGGGGAAGCGTTTTCTTGTAAAAGACTAGATAACTCGTCAATAGAGTTAATGATTAAACAATATATAGCAAAGCTGTCACAAATATATTCAAAATATCCGAATCTTATTTTCTTCTATTAAACACTATGTAATGAATCACGGACAATCAGGCTGCTATTATTACAAAATTTCAAAAAACTCCAATTGGAACGATTGCAACAATTACCAAACATTGAGCTTCTGATTGAACAGGAAGTTGTTGTTGAGATGTGAGATGGCACGATCCACAGCATAGCAGTCTCCCATCTCCACCATAGCAGCTCCAGGCTTGCTCTTCATGAATTTCACCTACATTAAAAGGGGAAAAGTGGATTTCAGATAAAGTTGTGTGCATTTTGGCAGTATCCAACTTACTTTTATCCATTCTACATACCCGTTCCACATTTCCATACAGGCAGAAGATGTTGAAGACCCTGTCTGCGTTTATTTTTGAGGGATCCAGGCCATACACCATGATCACTGGTGAGTCTGCATGTGCGCCATATTCACCGGGGGGCGGAGGTGGGGGGCCGTACTGTGCACCGTAACGCTGACTGGTTCCACCACGCCTTGGACCACCCATGGGCGGCCCCATCCGTCGGCCTTCATAGGATCCACTGTAGCTCTCATCTTGGTATCCGTGATAACCTCCTGAGAATACACAAACGAAAAACAGACCGCGTTGGGGTGGGCGTTGTGGGCAGGATAGGGGTAAACAAACATTTTACACACCCTTCACTTCAGTTTAAGTTTTAACATCAACACAGGACCATCTTGCTGCCACTGTGATAAAAGCACCCCAATTTGTTGTCGTTTTAACATTCACTCCCCTGTTTGCGAGCAAATGAGGCAAATGTGTTAACGCGTGTGCCCCGGCAAGCCTTACCATACTCTGGAGGGTGGTCTCCCAGCAGAGCCGGCTGCCTCTGGCGCTTGTTGGGGTTGGCGTTCATATCTGAGAGGCGAGAGAAGGAAGAGGGCCAAGATAGGAAAGGGGGAGGGGCCAAAAAGAGAGGACGAGAGAGAGAGGGAAAGATGAGTTCGCTGAGAGGCGACAGGACAGGACACTGACTTTGTGAATGTTAATGTGATTGGCATGAGCTTTCAGTTCAGCAGAGAAGGGGACACATAAGATACCAGAAGAAAGGGCCGATAATATTAGGGTTACATTTCACCCCCAAAAAACAGGTACATTTGCGTAAAGTAAATTAAACCTACTTTTAAATCACTGAATTTTGTATGGTAACATTTTCATGACAAATCAAGCCAATTTTCTCCTTAAACTGTCATTATCATAATGTCTGAACATCTTTAGTCCTTTTGTATAAAAATACTGCAATGGGGCTTAAAAATACTACGATACATTTACAGCAGTATAGTCTTTCTGAATTACAGTAATGAGACTTGTAATTGAGGTGGGGATGTTTATATTAATGATAATTACAGGGTTCATTTTCTTTATTTAAAATGTGTTTCATTCTTTTAATTTCAGGGTGAAATGTCATGTTACGTCAGGTTTCGTGAGACTGACCTATGAAATTACCACTTACAAACCTGTCTATCACAGCCAGCTGGCTAATAAACATACAGGCTTTCTTTTGGGGGTGTACCGGCCCCGAACAACCTGCTGTGTTGGTTGTGACAATGTAATTATGTCATATATTATGTTTGGGAGTGTGTGGGTGGGGGAGGACAGAATGTCTACTGCAGACACACCTTGATTGCCCCCATTGCCATCAGCATCTGCACCTGTTCAGGTACACACAGTGCAAACATCAATCTCACAACAGGTTTCTTACTCTATTTAGGATCTTAAATGCTTAGGGCACCATGCCTTTATTAACATTGCTATTTACAAAAGACGCAACTGAAAATGATGGCAGGCCTCTCTTCTCCTATACCCCCTTTACCACCAAAATGGTGCTGGTGATTGTGTTCAGCTGGGTCTCAAAATGGACTCACATTTTTACTGACTACATCACTTCACCGCAAACTAATATGGCAAATTACGTCTTTTGCTTTCAAGTGGTACTTACTACTTTTGAAAATACACTTTTATATTTAAAGCAATTCTGTGACTATGTAATCACAAGCTAGCTTTGATGTAATTGCCAAAAGCTTATTTAATTATATAAAAAAATTGAAGTAGTTGGGCAGCTCGGGAAATTTAGAAACGTGATAATTTCGTTTGTGCGATCTAGTTCTGTTTTACATTAGACAGACTGATTAGCCGTTTTGAAAACTTTTACATGGTACGGAGATTATCTCTTCCCTCAACCAATGATTCTAAGCCCAAAGAATACTTCAGCTTTAAAGCGAAAGCTCAGCGTATGCGTACAGCCAAA